TTAAGATAAGCGCGCTAAAGTAGAAGCAGCGCGTTAGAAGGTACTATAGGCTCGCTAGGTATTCTAGAAGGCCGCTAAGAAGTCTACTATACCTTCTAGTACTAACTATAGCGACTCCGATATTAATATACTAGATACGCTACTAGAAGACACTATTTCCTCCGAGGGTTCTTTTAGTAAGCGTAGGTATAGAGGCCTCTCGCTAATACTATTAACTAAGAACATCTATAGATCTTATAAGGGTAACTCTATCGCATATCTTATTACTAAGATCGATATAGTTCCTAAGGGCGATATAGGTAAAGCATCTATCGCCCTATCTATCTATTAGTAGTACGACGACCTTAGCAAGCTAGGCGAAGAGCCGTTTACTATATATACTAGCTATATTAAGAAGGCCGCTAAGGCGTATAGTCTCTATACTAGTACTAAGACGAGTATCCTTATTAGCCGCCTATTAAAGATTAGACGTAATGTCGCTAATTAAGATGCCTTCGCTGCCCTTAAGGCTAATTAGGCCTATACTAACTAGTTTCCTAGACGCCCGATTGCCGCCCTAACATCTCTAGGACTCTACGCATTTAACGCTACTAGCACTATTACTCGCGCCCTTACGCTAACAGATCGCTAGAGTAAGTTCGTTACCGGTATTCTTAGCTAAGATACCTCCTTCGATCGCTTTCGTTAGACTAGTAATACTATCTTCCCTCGAGTCTTCGGTTAGTTATAAGAACCTCGTAGAGTATACCTTCCTTTCCTTATCGATCTAATATAGGAAGAGTTTAAAATATACCTTTAGTATATACGTACGATGCCTAAGTCTAAGTAAGAAGGCCGCAATGCCCTTTAAACTTATAGTATAAGTAACTAAATCGTCCGCTAGTACCCTGCCTTATAGCTCTTAGCTGTCGCCCTTCGACCTAATTACGTATATAAGCTTATCTCCGTCCCTAAGCCTACTAAGTTCTTTAAGGTTAGCGGTACTTATAAAAACTATCCTTCTAAGGAGTCTGCTCGCCTCGGATAAGATATAGTTAAGCTTGTAGCTAGCGAGGGTGCTAGTTACCTACGTATTAAGGTCTACCTTATATCTAAGGATAAGACTAGCTACTCTACTATTATCGAAGGTATATACTAGCCCGAGGTCTTTACGAACTAGGTTAAGAAGCTTAAGGCTCGTAGCCTAGTCCTACTAAGTAAGATCGGTAAGCTTACTAATAAGTACCTTACCGACGACGACCTCGACTATATATTCGATAGTTAGCCTAATAGTAAGGAGTGTAAAGCGGAGTAGATCCTCAACCCTCTAAAGGAATACGAAGTCTCTATTTAGATGCTATACCTCCTATATAGTAATCTAAAGGCTAAGAGTAACTATATATTAATCGACCTAAGCTACTCTCGCGTTATTAACAGCACTAAGGTTAAGGGCTACGAGAACTTAATAGTCTCTTAGGTTGCTAAAGTGTACCGCAATCTAACCGCTCTCCTAGGCTTAAACTCCTTCGTACTATTCGCTTTCCTTATAGCTATCTTAGTCGAAGGCCTTAGTTACATCTCCGACGCCCTAGTTAGTAGGATTCCTTAGTTAAGTTACGTTATTTAGAATAAAGTTAAATAGATCCTCTAGCTAAATAACGAGGGACTTAAGGAATATCTATATAATTAGGAGAATACTACGAAGGAAAAGGCTACTAACCTCCTCGTTAATTAAGCTCTCTACGAGGGATAGTACTTCGGTACTAATAGCTTCTACGCCTACGGAGGAGATTTCGAGAGCCGACTAGTAGATAAGGTTATTACTAGCGAGGATTACGGTATAGTAAAGCAATAGTAAGTCTATATAGTAATTAGTTGTTTAGGAAGTTGTTTTTGTATAATTATAGTATCTAGGATTAATGCTACCCTAAGGGTGTTATTACGGAGTTCTAATAACCTTAGCTAAGAGCGCTAAGGATGTATATATATTTGTTTTAAGCGCGTAATATAAAACGTGTCTAGTTAGATACGAAGAAAGGGAGGGATATTAGCTAGTAACCGGCCCTATACCTATAGGCTAGTTTTAAGCCTATATAAGAGGCCTCCTTCTATAGAGTAGACAGATTATTAACCTCGTATAGCACATTGCTTATATTACACTTCTATAATGCCTATATTGCAGGGCTCTAGTTACTAGCCTAAGTAGCAGTCTCGTTATCCTATCTTGCTAAATATAGCTGCCTATATTGCTATAGGTTATATTACCCTCGGTTGCCTATACTATTGCTGCTAGTAGTAGTAGTAGTATTAGTTTCCGTCCTTTACTAGATAATAAACCCTACGACTAGAGAGACTTTAGGGCTTTCTAAGCCTTAAGTACCTTAAGGAGATCGGCGTAACGCTCCTCGACGCTATTAGTAGTCGCGCGAGGAAAGAGGTTATAGACTACGTAGGCTATCTAAGGACTAGAAGATTAGCGAGTATTTTACTATAGGAATCGAGATAACTTATAGTAGGACGTAAGTAATTCTTTTATAAGAACAGTTATCGTAGGCTCTAGAGCTAGCTAGCTAGAGGAAGTTAGAGATTTACGTACTAAATATAGTAGAGACTAAACTTACCGACTAGTCGATATAATTATCTCTAGAGTTAAAATAACCTACGTAGTAGAATCGACGTTAGACTATCTAAGAAAGTTAATTTTATAAAGAAAACTAAGAAAGAATAGGATAGTACCTTACTATAGTAATAGTAGTAGTAGTAGTAGTAGTAGTAGTAGTAGTAGTAGTAGTAGTAGTAGTAGTAGTAGTAGTAGTAGTAGTAGTAGCAGTAGTAGTAGTAGTAGTAGTAGTAGTAGTAGTAGTAGTAGTAGTAGTAGTAGTAGTAGTAGTAGTAGTAGTAGTAGTAGTAGTAGAAGGAATATATATAAAAAAGAAGATAAAGAATAAGGGAAGGAAAAAATATTAATACTACTAGAAACTAAGCTTAAAGTAAAGCTCGATTATAGTATAGAAGGTACGGTTAGAAGTAAAGCCTTTAGAAGGGCAGTTACGGCGTAGTAAAGAAGGCGGTTAGTAGGTAAAAGCGCGCGGCTTAAAAGTTATATATATAGTAATAGAGTCTAAACCCTAGGAGGAAGTAACCTTAACAGAAAGCTATAGAAATCTCGACGAAAGAGAAGGAAACCGTAGGCGCGTTACTTTAGAAGGCTTAGATAGATACGTACTCAAAGTCTAAAGTAATTACGTTTAAAACTACGATATATATCTTACTTTCTATAATAGAAATTATTATATACAAATTAACCTCCGCGGAAGACTAGGTACCAAATATTTACCTATATATAGGCCGTTACTATATTTAGAATATTAGATATAGGCGCTACTAGCTAAATAATTATTATTAAGACTCTATAGGTGCTTCTAAACTACTTTCTCGAAGTAATAGATACACTTTAAGAGTAGTTATAGCGGTATTACTATACGTATAAATATTAATTAACCTATAAATAATACTAACGATTACTATAGTTAACCTTTTTTATATACGACTTCTTCTAGGAGCATTTATACTAGGCGAATAGGATATACTCTATAGTACTATCTACGAGTACTTAAGACTAGGAGGCTAGATCGGGCTCTTTACTAGCTAGCTAGGGCGAAGACTTTCTAGGATACGGCGAGCGTAACGGTCGACTACTTAGTATATAAGAGACGGTACGTAATCGGATTGCCGTAGTAGGATTTATTAACGTCTAAGACGATCTTTTTAAGTATCCCTTAGGAGCTTAGCCTAAAGGTAAGAGACTAAAGTAGGCTAGAAAAGTTAACTAGGCGTACTAGAATACTAGCTTCGAGGGCTAGGCTATATAGTTATTAATAAAACATAGTATTCCTATGCCCTAGTCGGTAGATAAGGTCCGTATATATATTACGAAGGTTAGGTAGGAGTTTAAGTAGAAAGGACTATATATATATTATTTAACGTAAGTATATATAGGTAAGGAGATTAACGTACGTATACTAATAGGGAGTAGACAAAGAGTTTAGGCGCAAAAGTTACTATAAATATAAGGCCGATATAGTAAACTAATATTAGACGCTTTTTAGAAAAGAGATTTTAAGTATTATCTAAGTTCTAACCTTATCGGCGATATAAAGACCTAAGTAGTAGTTCGATCTTCGCTTAGACGTCCTCTATAGAAAAAAGTCTAAGTTTGTTATAAAGACTATAAGACTAGCAAAGAAGTATAGAAAGAGAACTATATCTATTCGAATCCGTATCTACTATAGTAAGCTACGGACGAGTATAGATTTTAACTAAGGACTAAATAGCGTAAACGACTAAAGCGATAGACCTTCCTAATAGTTATTCGGCCTAACACTTTTACGATAATACGAAAGCTAAGATAGTAGGCGAGAAATATAAGACTTAAATATTATTCTAAAGTCTAATAGCGTATATAGGGCAACGCACTTATAGAGTATATTAAGCGTAATTTATAACTCGGTAGAGAGAGGATATAATCCGTTAGAAGTTACTAGGTAGAAGAACGAAAAGTATCGTATCTAATTCTATAAAGATAGCGTATAGTATATATCGAGCGATAGAGTTAGCGAGCCGACTACTATTTAGGACTAAATCGTTACTACCGAGACCTCTACTACGGCGTATAGTACTATAAGATAGGGATATCTATTAAACGTAAGTATTGCCTATCTTATAACTAACGACGCTTAATATATATACTATACTTACTAGTAGGAGTATCTTCTACTCTAGGCGAACTATATAGGAAGACTTTCTAGCCCTTTTTATTACCCTAAGTGCCCTTCTTACTTCCTAAATCGGATCTCTATTAATATAGCCTTTTTAGAATCTCTACCGACGTTTAACCTAACGATATTATATTATTAGCTCTTAACTTCGAGACTATACGCCCTATCTAATATAGAGCGAGCTACTATCCTAATCTATACCGTCTATTAATTAATACTAATATACATAAACTCTACCTACTTCTACTCGCTAGAGAAGTCCACCTCCTCTCCCCCAACCGAGCACGTAACATTCGGTCTACTACAAATTTCCTTAAGCGCCAAATTCTCCTCCGCCAAGCCATCTGGAGCAGGCCACTGTTTGACATCCCAAGGTTTGACCCACACCCTATCAACATCAGCATCACTCATCTGCCTCTCACGCCACCAAGCCCACATCCCATCCCAATCGGAACACTGCATACTGATATTGAAATTAGGCGTGGGCTGCGATTCGCCTTCCATCCACTAGAAAGAAAGATATAAGCTCGGTGCGAGAACAAGAAAAAACAAAAGAAATTGTCGGAGAGAAACTTACGATCAAGGGATACACATCCATCGGAGCGCGACACATGACATCCTGCCTCAGCAAATCCACACAATGCGTCTGATGCGTGCGATGCCCAGGGTTAAGATTCCCTTTCGGCCAATAATGATCCGTCCAGACGGCTTTGCGAAGGACATCGATGCAATGGAGTAAATGATGGGCTTGACTCCCTACCATGCCCATACTCTCATCATCTAGCCACCGAGCGACGTAATCGAGGTCCTGGTTCAGGTTCTTCAGATCTTGCAGCGGGATCAGCATGGGATGGGAGTCCCAATTCTGGGTCCAGAGCTTGTCGCCTTCGTCGCTGGGTTCGGCTCGCCATAGTGAGGGGTGGGTATTCCAGGTGATGGCGTCGAGGGAGTGGGTGTGGGGTTTATATGGAAAGGAATCGTGGAGCGGTGCTGAGGATTGTGAGTGTTGGACTCGTGGACTAGAGAGGAGCGATGATCTTACGTACACCACGTCGTGAGCGCTTTTAAGTGTTCTGCGGGCGATATTGGCCAATACCGTCCCAACGCGAAGGATAGAGCATGGGTGAGAAGGAGTGATGATATCAGAAGGAGACGTGGAATACGCTGTAGGAACCCACGAGGCGGATGTGGATCTTCCAGCTCTTCGATATCGCTATAATCATCCGTGCGGGCTTTTTCATATGAAGTCATGATTGCCAGATAGGCGGCTTTGCATGGGCATTGTGAAGAGTCTTAAATACCACCCACGAGAGCTAGGAACGAGGAACCGATCCCTGCTATATTTTTGTGTAATCCGTCGTTCTGGTACATCGAGTTGCGTCGATGGTCGATGGACGTAATCGGCCGACGGCCAAGCGATTAGGCCATTCCAAAGAGAAGGTATCTGCAGCGTAACTGTTTGATGTAACACAGAAGTAACTACTAGGGTCTCTATACCGCCTGTTGAAGTCGGTGTAACCACACTTCAATCCTTGTTCTCGGCAGAGCTCTCGCGAATCCGAGTCTTTAGGATTCAGTTCTAGGAACTTTTGGGATACATGGAGCATTGTAGCAAAGTTGTGGCGATCAATCGTCACACTCTGTTCACAAAGGCCATTGCTGCTTCTTTACGTTCATCACATCCTCTTATAGTGGCTGACTCGTTGCGAGTCGACTTTCGACCGTATATCGGAGCCAAGAAATATCAAATACACCGATCAATCAGTGCGGATACTCTATATTCTGTACTTCATTCGATCTCAACAGATCTGCAGAGCCTTCGATCCGCAAGGATTATACGGTATAGCTACTCCCAAACTCTGATAGCGGTGTTCTATCATTGCCGTTCCTAGACAAAAGCCCGTATACCTCTCACAAGCATCGCATGGGAGCATTATAAAGGGTCCAGTGTGAAGACTTTCTACCAGGACCACTTCAAACACCTACCGCCATCGGGAAGTCAACCTTTCCAGCAGCCAAAATGCGGTTCGGAACCATCGTCTGCCTGCTTGGGCTGTCGACAGCAGCCGTTGCTAGGCCATTGGAGCCCGACACGATCGGTATGTAGAGTAATGGGTCTGATGCGAGACGATTAGTGCTAATTAAGAGCCCTAGCGATTCGGCGAAGATACTCGCCTAAGACAGAAGTCAGAGAGGTCGAAGTCACCGAGTTCAAACGAGATCCTTATTCCCCTAAAACAGAAGTCAAAGAAGTCGAAGTCACCGAGTTCAAGCGAGAGCCTTATTCCCCCAAGACAGAAGTCAAAGAGGTCGAGGTTACGGAGTTCTAAGGTGAAGTTTGAGGCTAAGGCTATTGCAAGCGGAGAGTGAAACTTCAACAATACGTAGAGGATGTAGGATTCCGGCCTCGCAAGTAGTGCTTCTGTCAGTACTGTTCTTCCTGTCCTATAGCCATCGACTTTCAACAGTCGAATCTGTAAAGCCGGCGAGCCTGATGTCGAGTTGGAAGTGGAAATGTCTAGTAGTAGGAAATGCAAATCGTTCCAGGCCGCAATTTTCTATTGTATCGAAAGTTCTGCGTCGGCTTTCCACGTCAAAGGAAGGGCTTTTGGCACAGCAGCAGACCCGAGCCGTTTCTCCCTCTCGGATTCATCCAAAGGATTGGAAGCCTGCTGCGGGACCTCGCCCTGCCCACTTAGGACGTAACGTTCCATCCTGGTTGTGAATGGCGTGCCGTCGGAGGCAGGTGCATACCAACCGAAGACGTAGCATGGAGTTTGAGGGTAGTGGCTGAATATTCCTCTTAGAGAAATAAGCTCGAGTTTAGGGAGCTTTCCAGCAATGCCGGCAAAGAAGGAATTCCATGAGTCATCCTTATCGGTCGACATGGAAAGATCGCATAGGCGCAGGCGCTTGAGAGTCTCCTTATGCCTCAGGAGGAACCCGATAAGATCGTCCGACGTCGTTAGCACGGACGAGATGTAGAACGCCTCCAACAATGGAAAGTGGATGCCGCCAACGACATGACGCAATTCGATTGGCGCCAACCTATAGCTCATCCCTGGCAAGCTCACCGCGAGGTCTCGCAAGACCTGAAACTTGCTCAAGAATGTGAGGAATGCGCCACGCGCGAAGATTCCATACATGTTGTAAACCTCGTCCTCGTCGAAGTCGTCCCCGGCATCGTTAATCACGCCATTATCGTCTTCTTCGCCGTTGCTAGGGTTCCATGTCGAGAAAGTGTCCCCAATGTCCCATTGAAACTGTTCCACGCGCTCCATGACAGAGGCGATCTTCGACTGGATGTTGGCTGGTTGTAGCAGCAAGTTGTAATGGACGTTTCCGAAGACAACCGTAGTCAACTTTCGCCCGCTATCGGCAGCCGCCAAGAGCAGCTGTATAGGCGCGAGGATTCCCTCGTCAACATTGGCGGCACGATTATCGTGTGGAAGGACCAGACCTGAGGCACGTCAGCATATCAACGTTTACCCAAAGGCTTATGATATTAAAGCCATATCCTACCTTTCTGGAACGATTTGCTGTTGCAAATCGTGCTTATCGGATCACCATAGGTAACCCACATGCTCGTCAAACCTGGACAGGCACGAAACAAAGCGTCCGCCCGATGTCGTAAGATGTTCGAGTGATCGATCTGCGCTTGCTGTTCCAAAAGTGTTCGATAGTATCGGTAGCTTGATGTCAGATGGTCATTGTCCTCGGTAATATTGCCATCCAGCATGGGGGGTTCTCCTTCAGAGGTTGCTCCTAGCTGGCTTGCATGCATGAGAAACGGATCCGAGTGTTGTCTCTTCCGCTCAGCATTCCACGCAGCAAAAGTAGCAAGATCCCTCAGACGGTCCGCTTGAAGCCAGAAAGAATGGATGCCTTTCGTTATGTCATTATGCTTGGCAACCAACGTGTCGAGCAGATCGAGGCTTTCTTGGTTGTAATGCAAGACGAGTTTCCCGATGAGATGGCGGTCGGCAGCCCCTCTAAAGCGCCGACTCACGAGACGGAGGTTCTTGATGGAAGTGGTGTCACAAGCCTCACAAATCCTGTCGAGGAGCTCGTTCGACAAACGCGAGAGACTGGCCATGGCTCGAAGCTGGGGATTTATTGCGCTTCAACCTCGCAACTGAGAGCTCCTTGTGGCAGGAAATATGAGAAAAGTTGTTGGAAAAGAGGTGCGGTCAAGACGTTTCACAACAAGTCAGGCACATTCCGTCTCCGCTTGACGCGCTAGTGCACGATTTCACGTGACAATGCAGAACTTCGCAGCCGCGAGGAAGAGCAGTACTTGCTACTCAATGAACAACCTTTCAAATCTCCGCGGCCTAACGAAAGAACTATCTCCATCCCACAAGAGAGTGCAATATGCTACCTTCAGAATTTTCGACTGGTCATCCAGCAGCGAGAGCTTCTCCTTCTCCAACCAAGCCCACACCCTTGGATACCCTTGAGACCATCATCTGTCGGCTCATACGCTGATTCTTCAATGCAGAGAGGTCCAAACCAGTGATTCAGTCATCATTCAAAGATCTCTTCATCATCTCCATCGCTTGCTTCATCAAGCAATCCGGCGACATACTGACTGTATCGGGTATTGATGACTCTTTGTGTCTCACGAATCCTCTCTTCATGCTCACGAACTAGAGTTGGGCTCCTGTGCCACTCCGATTCCAATTGTGCCCGAAGCTCTTCCATAGTCATCCAGGGCCTTAGGGTTGTCGTCCGTATGACCACTTGGAAGGCTGGCATGTGATCAGGTCCATCCCGTTGGACCGCCTCAATGCACGCGAGTAAAGCTCGCGCTTGGTATTGATCCGACCACCTGGACACAAGAGCCTCGGTCATATCCGCTGGCTCACTCATACAAGAACGCCAGAGTTTTGAAATCAGGTGTTTTAGATCTTCGCGCTTGCGACGACGCGCAGCCTGGCCCTCGTTCCACTTGCCGTCCAGATACCACAAGATCTCTGGTACGCACATGCCACAGCGCCGGATCCCTCGCACCAATGCTGGCGTGGGGTAGTAGCTGGGGCCTGATGCATGGTGCAGACGCACCATTAGAAACAGACATACTTCTTGCCGCTCAGTCGGGGGATGGGACAATAGCGGTTCCTCACGGCTGTCTGATATTCCAGTCTCGTGAAAATTCTAGCATGACGAGAGAAATTGTTTTATGGCTTGCAAGCGCTGCTCTTCCGTCGGTTCGGGTTTCGGAGGCCAACTGAATCCTCCGCCTAGAAAATGGTCTTCCAAGCGCCGCAAAACCTCACGAGTGCCTTCGTAGTTGAGCGCGTGTCGAGTGGCGCCAAGTTGCCTGCAGGCTCGCTGGTACGGCAGGAGCTGCGAAAGTAGATTCAACGCCATCTTGATGTAGCGTCGCGGGTAGGAATGAATAGTCGTGCTGAGGTCTGCCGGCGATGTATCGATGCGTGGGATGATCTGTTGTCTCGACGATGAGATGCCTGCAATATGAGCATGCGCATACAAGAAGAAGAATGCATGAAGCAAAGAGGCTGAGTCGGAGAAGCCAAGAATCGTTCTAGAAGGTGGGAAAGTGCGATAGAATCCAGGCACAGAAGGCGAACGGAAAAAGGCAAGTCCATTACATGACCACCCTTCCACTCCCCCTCACTCCCGACCTACGCCTTCCGATCTTCGTCGGCCATAGGCGCGCATCCTCAAGTCCTGCAGACGCGAAAAGATTGAGTCGGCGTGCAGACCAAACTCTCCAATCAACGGCGCCATACGATTTCGAAACGCGCGACGCATGTCCCGAGTCGACGTGTCCCGCTGGACAACCAGTCTCTGGTAAAACACCTCCACAAGGCCAGCCAATATGCCGACTTGCACCTCACTCAAATCTCCATGGTCGACTGCCACTGTCTCCATTGTCGCAATCCTGAAGCCCATTTCTTGGCAGACCCAGAAATAGTTGAGGACTCTTCGTATGGCTGCTTGAGCTTCGCCGGACGGACTTCGAGGTGGAGGGGAGTGTGCGTGTCGTGTTCTGCTACGGCCCCGTTGCTGGCTTTCTGGAGCTTGTGCCAAAAGGTCGCCCACAAACTGCGGAAATTCGAGACACCCCTCATAACTCAGCTGCACGCTTGCACGTCGTCGTGGCAGTGGTCGTGAGTGTTGTCTTGGCATTTTGGTGTCTTTGCCTGCATGCGCAGCGTGATGTGAAGATGTTGGGGCTGCTTCCAAGCTTTTCTGTCCAACGGCTCCTTGAAGATGTTGTGAATGCTGCTCCAACATGGCATGCGCTCACGACGTTGAAAGGTTCCTGTCGCATGGTATGCGCCCTTTCCAATGTCATGCGGGTACTCATGCCGAGTGTAAACTTATCCCGCGGTGCACTCGGCGCTTTGATGCTGCACTATTGCGACCTTGAAGACGTCAAAATGGCCAGGAACACATCAACTCTGGTCATGGCATTCGTTAGTGGTCTTATCTGGGTATGTATACATACGTTGCGGTCGAGCGCCACCTGCGCCGCGCTTACGCAGAGTATGGGTATCACAAACGCCCTCCTTCCACATCCAAGCTCATGAGAAAACACTTCCGCCAAAGCTCCCACTCAACCGCGGACTGCCCCTAGGACTTCCTCTTCCCTTTTCGTACAACCACTTATTGTTCAGTCCGACGCTCGCTCTCTTCTCTTTTGACGGCGTAGAGCCGAAAGAAGACGAATCGAAGGCGCCCAAGGCCAGCGGACTTCCCGAATTGCCGGTATAGCTTAACCTCCTCCTTTCCGCACCACTTCTCAAGCCTGCAGCTGGACCTGACAGCGGACTGCCGCTTTCTGCTCTCCGTAGAGTTTGACTTGCGAAAGGTGAACCAGATCCAGATCTGAAGGAGCCGTCGAGGGGCGTGCTTCTACCACTTAGAGGAGAGCTCGATGCTTCGGCGCGTAGGCTGCTAGCAGGCGAGCTTCGAGGTGTCGAGTTTGAAAAGCGTGGCGGGGTGACGTATTGCTCCTTCTCTTGCGGCGTCGCTGGTCGAGACATGGGTGGAAGACCGAGAAGCTGTCGTTGCTGGGGCGTGAGAGGAACATCTTCGCATGCGTCGGGTTTTCGGAATAACGGCAGCAGAGCGATTCCAATATTGGCCACCAAGACCGCCTGCAGCAGCCAGATCGCGTAGAGAGGGTATGGATGCACTGCTCTCAGCCAGGAAAGGGGGAAGCTGTGGTATCAATGAGAGAATGTCTAAGATGGCGCAGACACGAACACTTACGTGTACCCAAGTACGCTGCGCAAGAAGAGGGAGACGACGAGGAATGCAGAGCTGACCAGAATGCTCTGCATGTTACTGCTGTCGAAGTTGGTGGCATTGCGCCTGCGAATGACTTCGTCCATGCGCGGATGCACCCATTGTCCCGTCTGCTGCTTTGGTGTTTCTGGATTTGATTTATGCTCCTCCTTCTTTGGCGTCAGGTTCAATGTTGGTAGACTCGACATTGTGCTAGTGAGCGGCGATGAGCTCTTCTGCCCGGATGCGGTCTGCGAAATGCTCTGTGAAGTCGGCGCGAGTGCTGTTGAAGACATTGTTCGAGTCGCGTACTGTCGTATTTCCGGTCGCGCGTTGTCGGAGATAGAATTGCTGTGTGTGTTAGTATGCACGTCCCGGGATCTCGCCTCGCCTCGCCTCAATGCATTCTATTTGCTGGGTGTATGCCTTGGAAAGGCGTGAGGTTTCTGTCTTTGTAGTGAGGTGACTTCAAAGACAGCGGTCCGTTGCTATGCACGATGCAATTCTACGGCGGATCATACCGATTCTCATGCCAAAACTCACCTCCGTACTCCTCCCCGCAGGGTCCAAGCTTCACACGGACCCCACCTGCATCTGGCTGATGTCTGATGTGGTACCCGGAAAGTTGGAAGCTCTGTGTGTTAACTGCCATGCCATAGTGCTATATTCCTCCTGGTGAGCAACACATCCCAACATGTCTCTCGCCTCGCTCGACCAAGCAATCTCAAATGTCCTCGCCGACTGGGGCATCACAACCACCATTCTAGCACTTGCTCTGGCAGCATACCTAGTCTATCCAGTCGTCTTCCCACATGAACCAGACACACATCCGCTTTTGCTAGCCAGACAAGCTATAGCGAGTCCCGTGAGAAAGAAGGGGGAGTCCGCAATCTACAGATCGCCAGAAGTACCACACGGATATCCTCTGCGAACAGGGCTTAATGTAAAAGATCCATCGGCGCCAAAATGGGCGGCAGGAAAGGATGGAGACATTCGAGATATATGGAGGGAGGTGCAAAGGGGCGGTAAAGCTGGTGATGACGGCAAGCAGATACCGAAAGGATTGATACTGAGCGTATTCGGCAAAGAAGAGCTTGTGGACCACGACATTGATGACTTGAGCAAGGAGATCAGCACAATTGGAAACCACTTCAAGCAAGCAGGTATCAAGAAAGTGGCCATCTACCTACCCAACAGTGTAGAGTACCTCTTGACGCTTTTCGGTAAGACCAGCCATCCTGTTGCAGTGGGCCATGCTGACAAGATGTAATAGCTGCCACCTTTTACGGTGTCACACCAATACTCCTCCCATACAATCTCCCACACCCGAAGGTCTACCACTTCCTCAGCGGTACTGGTGCCGATGGCCTCGTCTGTGCAGCAGGCAACCTGCCACTCAACGACTTATCCCAGGCATGCAAGAATCTGCGGCTTCTGACATGGGTCGTGGAAAAGACAAGTAGACACATGGACTGGAATGGCGTGCCAGATGAAGCTGCTGGCCGATTGGTGGTCTCGGTCTGGCACGATGTGGTGGAAGAGAACAAGGCTACTGCCACAACAGAACTTCCAAGCAATGATACCGGTGACACACCTGGCGACATTGTCACTGTATGGCAGCCTTCGAATCCTGCCATCCTCCCTCAAATCGTGCCATTCACGCAGACAAACATGGTCGCCGCCATCGCTGCCCTCGTCACAGCTATTCCGATGCGACAGCGACTGTCTCCAGCCGACCTGGTCCTCCCCGCCGACACATTCACACACAACTACGTCCTCTGCCAGACGCTTGCCGCACTTTACATGCATTGCAGTCTAGCCATTACATCTGTTGCAGCACCCGGCGTCGACTTGCAGGTCGCAAGACGAGGCGTTGCACCTACCGTCATCATTGCTTCCGCCGAGACCATGGTCAAGTTGCACCAGGAAGAGACCGCGGGCATCTCATCAGGCCTCCAGCGCTTCGGCAAGTACTCTCAAGACCAGACAGTTGCCGCCGGTCGCATGCCTACCGATGGCATCCTCTTCAAGCTTCTCGCTCCAAAATCAGGAAGCACGGAGCCTGGCAAGCTTCGCCTCATCCTGACCTCCGACCGTCTTGGCGCTGGCTCGCCTACTCTCACATCAACCATGCTCAGCGATCTACGCATCTTCACCAGAAGCCGAATCATCTACGCTCTTACAACCGCCAGAGTTGCAGGCGCTATTGCGCAGACGAACGTGTTTGACTATCGACGAGTGGATGGCACCGAACCCAGCCACTTCGGTGTCCCGCTCGGCAGTGTCGAAATCAAGTACCTCAATCCCGACGAGAAAGCTCTCAGCTCTCCCGAGCCAAGTGGCAACCTGGTCGTCATGGGCCCGGCTGTCGCCGGAGGGGAGGTGAAGCTTGATGTACAGATGAAAATGCGCGAGGATGGTTGCATTGTATATGGATGAATAGCAGTACGTACCTCCATCTAAAACTTGGACATAGCAATCAATCCCCATTTCTCCTTCTTCATCCCCCTCACAACCTCCACCGAAGGCTTGAATTGCCAAGAGGAGCATCCCAATGAGGCTTGTATAGCTTGGCCCGTCTACTCAAAGATAAACCTGCTCCAGGTACCTCCAACTTTCGTACGTGGATTCCTCGCTCTCAAATGGCAATCGGCCGCAGGTCATACAGGCCAAGTGACAAGTCGGGCGGTATGCTTGAGCTTTGATACTCCGTCTGGTCCGCGATTCGCTTAACATGCTCCAGGTTTCCCGCCGGACAAGAAGGTCCAGCTCTTCTCTAAGTCTCAAACGCGATCAGCTCCTCCAATCCATCATCCTCAGAGCAAGAAGAAAGCCGAAAGGGTCTGGGCAAGCAAGGACTTGGAATGTGGATTGAAAGCATCCTTCTTCCTGTCTCCGGGAACCGACAGACGTCAGGACTGGACACGTTATGTTTCAGGTGATCTGGAGGAAGATTGTCCTCGATGGTGCATTCATGATCTCTGCACGGTGTCATATCTGCGATGACAATGAAGAGAGCAGGACGCCGCTCGTGAGCTTCGATGCTAGAATTCCTACTGCTACTGGCTGTGGTTCAGCGCCCCAAGTCTTTGCTTTCTTGAAGTTCATGATATGATGATTACACTGAGAGTAAGAGAGGGAATGACGCGAATAATCTGGCTCATGTTAATGCAGTGCGGTTCTGAGAGAGACAAATTCAAATTGGCTCGTCCACCTTTGGGTCCATTCAACCCCCATGCACCTCGAACACTTGAACGCCTGATACAGGGTCCCGACTCCTTCCCTCTCAGCTAATCGGTGGAGATTGTAAACCTGCGAAAGCCATATTGCGGACCATCTTTCCGAATCATACCAGATCTATGGAGCTGATGACAATTGAAACACCTCTCTGGAGTTTGGTCCTCTGCCTAGTATGTCTTGCTCGCCCTGACTTGGATGGTCGCGTGCTGACCCAATATCCTTGAGAGCATTCAGGATTAAGCACTGACGATAGTTGTGCTTTCAAGCGCAGTAATCATCGATCCTCTGATGCACGAGAGCTCTTTCCTTACGCCAAAGTCGTCAGATTCTGAGAGCTCGTTCACCCTGCTGTGCCATATCTCGATCGGAGTCGCAACTTGCTCCTGTGATAACTTCGTAAGTCAAGTTGGCTGGCTACCGATTTCGATGACCTCCACAAACTTGGCAATTCTCTGATCGGGGAGCCTCGCGGGTATTCCATTACGATGGCTTCTTTGCCGCAGTGTAGTGACGCGACGACCTGATGGACGAGAATCGCAGACAAACCAAAGACACCTGGCCATATGAGTTTCGTAGTTCCGCGAACGCACCTGCGAAACGGCCTTGACGAAGTCCCCCAGTTTCATATCGTGTTTGATGACAAAATCGCAGACGTAGCCGAAGGCCGCCTCCCACTCTGCCGGCCAGACGCAACTCCGAAGATCGTCTGTTACCCATTGCCGAATCCGAAGCCCTCTGCGTGATACCCGCAACTTGATGTCACGCCAGCTGGCATTTACAAAATGGAAGGCCTTAGAAAGACGGGCTTGTTTCCATGGGAGCTTTTTCGTATTTCGCGAGCCGAGATTAATGGTTGGCATGTCGTACGCCGCCTTCTTGAGCACACCCGGTGGAAGCAGCTTGCACCACCCGCGCTGGTCGGAATCATAATCGCCAAATGCACATCGGAGAGCTTGCAAGTTTCCAAGCTTGCGGGGTCCGACTTCACGTGAGATGTCGCTGTCGAGAGGCGCAAGCAACATGTACTGGCGCAGCTTTGGCGATTCTCGGATGGTGTTGCGGAATGTGCAGTTCACTCGCTGCCAGACGAAGAGAGCCTTGACTGGCAAAGCTGCATGCGACTGGCCGACATCTGTAGCTGCGCGTTGAACGAGGATATCTTGGAGAAGCTCGGGAATGCCAAAAACCCTGCCGACCGCGCCTTGGCCAGATGCTTGTGGTGGTGCAGCAGCGACTTGTCGGGCTGACTTTTTCTGCTTGGACTTCGTATGCTTGCGTGGCATTGTTCATTGTGTTAATGAGCAGACTTCGGAAGTGTCGAGGTCGAGTTTTAAGATGTCTACCAATTGAAAAGGTGAGTCCAAGCTTCGAAGCGGACACTAATGCACGTGCGTCGGCAACACCCGCCTTTTGCATGTGATAGCACTAAGCTCAAGTTCGAGGTCAGCACCTGGCTAACATGGAAGTCAAACCTTCTTTCTTGCAATATGCTGCCTTCGAGACTATCAAAAGCCTCCACTTCGCACTACTAGCCTCCTGAAAGTTACCACAGGTACGCTCTATCTATCATATGCTTGAGCGACTGCAGCGCAGTGCTGACGCTTTGCCACAGAGAAATCAGGCATCAGCAGCCTCTCGAGTGTTTGCGATACAAGAACTACTCGAGGAGATCATTCTTCTTGTCAACACTGGCAGCAGGGCACGGGAACCCCAATGCGATGCCGTCGAGGGAATCAAAGCCGCAATTCATTCTCTAACGCGTGTGTCGCACCTTCCGAAACACGATTCTCGGTTCCAAACTCATCTAGAACTACTTGAAGAGTGTGTGTGTAGGCTATTACGTACATGATGCCTAAGGCTGCAACTGTGCACACTTCATCTTTAGGCTTTCTATAATTAGCCCTTCTTCTAAATACATTATAGTTTACATTAAGTAGTTATAAGCCCCCTGCGTTTCTAACGCATATAATACGTTTACTACGTATTCTAATAGTTACTCCGACTGCTACGTAGCTAGCGCTCGTTACTAAAAATTGCGCTAATACTAATATTATCGCCGCTACCCTTATAATCGCCCTCGAGGGTTCTAGTAGGTACTAGTCCGACTCGAGTCGGTATAATATTAGTGTTAGCTATCCGCTATACTAGAATATAGGCGCGCCTATCGGCGACCTCTTAAGACAAGTCTATAGTCTCTTCTATACTATCGCTATCGCTATCTATAATAGTACTATCGACTAGCGCTATAGGCGCCTATATAAGTAACATCCCTAAGCTTAAGAACAAAGAGAACTATCTATTATAGTTATATGCCGCTAAAGGCGCCCTTAAAGGTATGTCGGTCTAGCGCTATATATAAGGCACCTACCCGCGACCTCTTACTAAGACCTCTATTAAGACTTCTAAAGAATTTAAAGACTGTTAAGATGAATAGGACTCTAAAGATTAAACAGCGCGTACCTAGATCTTTGCTAATTGTGTTAGTAATATTTAACAATTACTGCTTAGTCTATCTATATTCTAGGAAGTATAGGACTTCCTTAAAAAGAAGTATACTAGTAAAGGTAGGTCTACTAAATTCATACTCTTCTAGGACTATATTACTCTTCGCTACGATAGCAAGGACGTTAAGAAGTTCTATAACGAATACAAGAAGAAGCTCGGTGCCTTAAAGGATACTAAATTAGCTATTAGCTAATATTAGGCTATCTATATATTTATTATACAAATCGCACTATTCTACGAGGCATTCGTATAGATACGCCGTAAGCAGATGCGCGCCTCGGAATACACTATTAATAATAGCACCCTTAACAATATTATTAGCGCGTTGCTTAATAAGAATATAGCTTAATTAAACTAGGCCTAATATAATAGCTTCTTCGGTCTCTAGCGCTAACAAGGCAATAGTAATAGCAATAGTCGAGGTAACTCGAACCGTAGCGGTCGTAGTAGCCGCGGAAACAATAATAATAACAACGGTCGAGGCCGCGGTAGAAACAACTAGAATAGTTATTAATCTAACCGTAAGAAATGTGCCTATTATTAGGGGTTATATCCCTCTAACCGCTACTATAATAAGTGCCCTTATTTAAAAAAGGAAGACCGACTACGACGTAAATAGTAGAAGGCTAAGAAGAAGTAGCAGCGTATACTAACTGCTTAGTAATAGCAACTACTACTACTACTAGCTCCGCCTACTCCGGCTTTATAGGGTTTGTATACTAATAAGACACCGCCCTTATTCTATAACGATTCTCGTACGGATATAGCACCGCCCTCGAGTAGTTACTAATAGTCTTTTAATACTACTATTACGGTTAGCGATTAGGCCTCTATAGTACTAACCGCTACTATATATACTACTAACTAGGTCGTAGACTTAGGTACTAGCATATATATAGTTAATAATGCCTCGCTTCTAGTTAAATACGAAGGCTGCAATATTCCTATACGCTTTAGTAGTAATACTAAGCACGCTATACTTATCGGCATTACTATTACTAAGGTAGTTAATAAGTATAGTACTATTAGCATACTGCGGCTATCTAAGACACTATACATTCTAGGTCTTATAGCTAACCTCCTATCTACCGAGAAGCTTGCTAATAAAGGCTGCTTCTACCGCAATAATAAGCGGATTCTCTTTATATACGATACTAATAACAATAAGGTTACTATCGCTTAAACCTACCGCAAGGATAGCCTCCCCTTCCTACTTATACCTACCTCTAGATAATAGGCTATTGCGCTTCTATCGAAGAAGGGGGTACCGGCAGGCACTATAGATAAGTAGCACCTACGCTATAGTTATATTTACTATAGCAAGCTCCTTTAGATAGAGGCTAAGGGTTAGATTGTTATTATTAGAGGCAAGAAGAACTTCCGCAACTATATTACTTGCCGAATAGCAATAGTATATAAGGAATACAACCGCCTACTACGCCTTCGACTATCTATAATCTACTATATTGTCTATATAGATATAGTTACTATTACTAACCCTAGCCTATTATAGGAGCGATATTTTATACTCTTTATATATACTAAGTCTAGTTATCGATATAATTATACTAGCATCCTAAAGTTAGGTGCTACTATAGCAATTAAGCATTACCGTATATATGTTTATACGTAGACTAGATATTTAATCCCTATATATCGTCTAGATAGAGGGGGTAAATACGGTAGCAATTAGCTTCTCGAGTAGGCTCGTAACAATAGTATTGTCCTATAGGTTACAGCTCCTTATTCTTCTACGTAGAACGGTCTTACTAAAGTTAGCAATTATATTATATATTCGACCGCTCGGAAGATAATACTGTATACTAATCTACTAAAAGCTCTATAGCTATACGCTATTAGCGCTACTACGCATGTCCTTAATATTATACTAAGCTAGTTATTTAGTAGAGATAGTCTATATACTATTGTTGCTAAGGAGCTTAATTAGTTACGTACGTAGCTACGCGCTTAGTATCTACGTGCCTATAGCTGTATAGCTATTGTCTATAATTATAACGTTGCTCGTAGTAGGAAGCTCGACAGTCGTAGTCTTATTAGCAAACTTATTAGCTATACTAAGCACTCGGTAGACTCCGGTAAATACATAATCTACCTGCTAACTAAGCATAAGGTAGTTACTTTAAAGGATGTCTAGTTTATTAAATCCGGTAAGCTCTTACTGCCTAATAGCATAGAGCTATATACTAACCCTAATAACCCGTCTAAGAGCGAGTTGTTACGGTTACTCGCGACAGATCGTTAAGTGACTTCTTATTACGTGCAAGCCGAGGCTTCTTTAGAGAGGCTAATATAAGCGGGAGGCAGAGACAGAATAATTAGTACAAAGGTAATTCCAATTAGTAAGTAGGTAATATAAGTTAAACGCCTCGAGCTATAAGGGCATTTCGGCGTTCCTAAATACAAAGGAGATATCTTGTCTATAGTCGTAAGCGACGTAAGCGACGCTGTCGCTCTCGACCGCTCCTATCGCTCCTAGTAAGATAGAGCGATAGCTTAGCCTACTAGTCTTAGCGTCGCTCTAAGATTATATAAGGACTCTAACTAATTAGATCCGTAACACTATCCCCCTCCTTAAGCGGAATAGTCCCTTATTCCGGGACTTTCTAATTCTAACTTCTTTGTTATACTAAAGTTATCTAAGGATTTGTCTTCTCGCTAGCGTAAGGAAAATATCGCAAATAATATCCTCGCCGACTGCCTCGAAATGCCAATCCGCTACTTTTATTACGAATAGGCCGGTAAACCCTATAAAGTCGATCTTCGTTCTAGTCGCTACTCCGAGTGCGCCCTATACGGCTAGTCCTATAATATGTAAGTTACTTATATAGAGTATAAAAAAATCTAGAAGGCGCGCCTAAAGATAGCTAAAGATCTCGAAGTAGCCGAAGAGGAGGAGGACCTCCTTACGCGGAAGCTTTTCGAGTATCGCGTAAAGGTCCGTCGCTTACGTAAGTCGCTACGTATAAAGGAGGATCGGGAGATACAAGCTCTTAAGGTAGAGGAAGCCTCTATTTAATAGGCGGAGGAGCTCGAAAGAGAGCTAGGCTCTTTGCCTATAGAGCCGATAATATTCTCGTTACCTGCTAACGAGCCGTTTCCCCTAGATAGCCGATTATAGATGTCGCCTTATAACTAGAGTCGTCTAGATAGGACATCCTAGCCTATCTCTGAAATCCCTAGTAGGAGTGCCGAGAGTCTAGTATCTTAAAGGTATGTATTTTTAATGTTTCCTATCTATTTTATCTTCTAGCTAGTTAGTCTAGTAGTATAATTCTTAGCTATAAAAGACATAGTTGCTAGGTACGCTATTAGAGTCCCCGCTCCTCGAGCTATACTACCCTAGGTCGTTAAGAACTCTAAGGCGCTATAATCGATAGAGTCTAAGAGGTCGTAGGTTCAATTCCTATACTAGTTATTTCTTTTTTGTCCGGTTTTGATATTTTTTAATTATCTGCTAACAGTTCTATAGGTTTTCTTTTAGTTCCTAGGTGTTTTCTGAATATAGGTATCCTTTCTATTTAATAAGGTATTTCTAACCTTGCTAATCTAGGATTTCCTCGACTTTAAACTTATTTTCTTCCTTAGGTTAGAAGTGAAATGTTTCTTAATACGGTGTTTCGGCGTCTATACGTTCTAGTATAGAGATATAGAATACTAGGTGGATTTTCGCGTCGTCCGGTAGTTTAAGTCGGTAATTAACTGGTCCTTTAGGCTTATTAATCAAAAATGGCCCGACTTTAACGTAGTCTAGTTTCTTAGTCGATCTCTAGGTTTTTAGATTCCTTGTTAGGAGGTAGACCTTATCCCCCTTTTTTAGCTAAGGTGCTATTTTTCGTTTAGTATTATATAGTCCCGTAATCTTTTCTTAAGACTCGGCAATTGCCCTTTGCAATTCTTTATATACCTGCTTTAAGTCTTCTAAAGCGACTATCGCTTTATCCGCGTATAGATGCTATAAATACTATTCCCCGAATAGCTACGGATGTTTCCTAAAATTAGCGAAGAATAGTGTCTCTTTCGTAGTCTTAGATTGTTGGTTGTTTAGTGCAAGTTGTGCTATAGGCAATAGCGATGCCTAATTGTTTTGTACGTAATTGACGTAGTGCCGTAAGTATACCTCTAAGGCCTGATTCTTAACTTCCGTTTAGCCGTCTGTCTATAGATAGTATACCGTTAATAGCTTGTGCTTAATTCTAAGTGTCGCTATAAGCGTCTTCTAGTAGTTTAATATAAAGAGCTTATCTCTATCCGTAATGTAGGTCCTTAGAAATCCGTAGTATCGCACAAGTCTATCTAGTACGAGGTATCCGAGTTGCTCTGCCGTACTTGCTTCGTTAGTAGGAATAAAGTGTGTATATTTCGTAAGCCTATCGACTATAATAAGTATTATGTCGTAGCTATGTCCTATAACCGGATCCTTAGACTTCGGTAGTTTCGTAATAAAGTCTATTGTAACTTCGTCCTATAGTTTATCTAGTAGCGTCCTAAATTAGATATGTCTATACCTAGCGTATCTATTAGCCTTATTACGCTAACATTGTAGACATTTCTTAATATATTCTAGAACTCGTTGTCGTATATATAGGAATCCGAAGCTTCGCTTAACTAGTTCTATTGTCTTTGAAACTCTAGGGTGTCTATTTTCTAGTCCGTCGTAGTGTTATCGTATATACTCCGTAACTCGTTCCTTAGGTACTTAGTATTTCCTATATTCGATAGGAAACTGTTCTTCTATGTCCTAAAGAACTCGTATAATGTAGTTGAATTCTTTTGTATTAGCACTAAGGCTTCCGTCTTAGTTTGCTTTTAATATCTGCTACTATACTAGTTCGTAACCCTCTATATAGTCGCTACGGCGGCTTAGTACGTCGGCTCGTCCGTTCTCGCGTCCTAGGGTATAGCGGATTTCGAACTTATACTATCCTAGTAGCTCTAACTAGCGGGCCTGTCTTCGGGTTAGTACTTTAGTCGTAGTAAAGTAAGTCAGATTCTTATAATCAGAAAGAATCGTAAGACTTAGTACTCCTTCCGCGTATACTCGCTAGTGTTACAGTAATGCAACTATTGCAAGTAGCTCCTTATTATAGATGTCGTAGTTCTATTCCGCGGGTAATATTTTTCTCGAGTAATAGGCTACCGGGTATCGTTTCCCGTTATGCTCCTATATAAGGTATGCTCCTATAGCCCTATCCGACGCGTCTGTTTCTATCTAGACCGCCTTACTCCTATCGAATAATCGTAGCGTTAGCGTAGAAACGCATTGCTTCTTTAGCTACTTAAACGCTTCGTCTTCCTTCGTACTCTAGTTCTATTTCTTGTTTTTCTTTATAAGCTCCGTAAGAGGTACCGCTGTCTTAGAGTAGCCCTCGATGAATTTTCTATTATAGTTAGCTAATCCTAGGAATGATTGTACGTCTTTAACGTATATAGGCGTTAGCTATTCCTATATTAACTTGGTTTTTTCTAGATCGATCCTAATTCCTATAGTGCTAATAATAAATCCTAGGAATTTGACTTCCTTCTTATAGAATTCGCATTTCTTAGGTGCAGTCTTAAATCCTACTTAAGTAAATCGTTTAAAGACGTCCTACACTATTCGTATATAGTCCGCGAGAGCTCCCTTAGTATAGACTAAGATATCGTCTATATATACGATAACGTATACGTCTAGAAGGTCTCGGAGGACTTCGTTTATAAGGTCTTAATATAACGCTAGGGCATTTGTAAGTCCTATAGGCATAACTAAGAATTCGTAAAGCCTATATCTTATTCGGAATACTATTATCTATTCGTATCTAGCTGCTATACGTATTGCGTAAAACGTATCGCGTAGGTCAATCTTCGTATACTAGTCTAATCTAGTTAATCGGTCTTGCATTTCTTCGATATTCGGTAGTAGGTACCGATTCTTAATTGTAATGTCGTTAAGTCGTCTAAAATCGACTACTAGCCGTCCTTCGTCTAATCCGGCTTTCGGAACGAATATTACTAGTAAGGCTGCCGAGGATATCGACTTCCGTATCTAGCCTTTTTCTAATTTCTCTTTTAGCTACTTGTCTAGGGTTTTGAGCTCTTTCTTAGATATTACGTATAAGGGTCCCTATAGAGGCTCTTTCCTAGGCTGTAAGTGTATCTTATAATCCTATAGTTAGTGTTTAGGTAAGGCTGCCTTGCCTCTCTCCTCTTTAAAGAGTCGTTTCTACTTACTATACTCTTTAGGAATGTCTAGGTCCGAGATTCTAGTTTTATTCTTCGATAGCGTATAACTTCTATCCTTCCCGTAATTATTATTATAACCCTCCTAACCTAACGGTAGTATCGATCCGGGTTGAATACAGTTCTCCGTAATTCCTATCGACGCAAACGTCTTACGAGTCGCCCTACGTTTGTCAATCTTATCTGCCTACGAACGCTGCCGCTATATAGGTTAAATGCCGATTATATAGTCGCATTCCTTAAATGTAAGTACTCCTTTTCTCTAGTCTACGACTAGGTTATACTTTCTTAACTAAGGTATACCTAATACAATGTTATAACTAGCTATATTAGTAACATCTAAGACAATCTCCTCGTAGTGCTATTAGATAGCTAGTAGTAACGGTATCGTTTCTCGTTCTATACTAGGTAGCGGTAACCTATCTACTACTATAAGTTTATACGCTCCTTCTCTTCTGCTTCGGGTTGCGATCCCTCGGCTTTTAACGAATAATTCGGAGGTAAAGTTCCCGCTCGCTCCGGAATCTATTAATATACTCGTCGGGTACCTATTAACGATAACTTTTGTACGGAAGACTGCTATTAATGCTTAAGCGCTTTCGGTATTAAGGAACTCTCTTAGAACGCTCTAATCTAGAGAGTTGGTCCGTTTCCCGACTAATTAGTAGCCTAACGTTGTTCTAACTAGTTACGGATCCGTAGTCCTACCGTTCGTGCTTCTTCGGTATATAATTTTTCCTCGAGGGTATCGTTATATATATCCCGTCCCTACGCTACTATAGCCTTTCGGTATTGCTAATTTAATCGCTAGACCGTCTAACGTATATCTTAAGTAATAATCGTCCTTTCGTCGGGTAGGACGTATCCGTAGGGCGTAATTATACTTCCTATCGGTACTCGCTCCGTAATAAAGTTATAGTACGTATAGTCTATAGGTATCCGGGGGTGATTCTAGAATTTTACCCGTAAGCTTATCTAGAAATAATCAAATTAGATAGGATCGACCTTCCGTTGTCTATTAACCTTTAGAAACATTTCCTCGTATTTGCGTACTAGATATAAGGCGATTGTTCGCGCTGCTATAGGTGTATCTATTATAAACGTAAGGATCGTATCGTCGTTAATCCCGAATTCGTCTTTACTTTCTTTATTCGTAGTTTCTTCCTCGGTATCTAGACTTCCTTCTAAATCTTCTTACTATTCCTCCTCTTACTAAGGGGACTCCGGTACTTCTAGGATAGCTCCTAACTCCTCCCCGGGAGGGAATAAAGCTTCCGGATCTCGGTTTTCTTTATCGTCGGTATCTAAGCAAGATTTATTAATCGTTTCTTCTTCTAATTAGGATTTCGTATCTTCTCGTACGAGTCGCCTAATCTAAGGGAAGAATCCTACTTCTACTTTAGCAGAATAATGAATTTAGTATTAGTCGTTGTAATAGAATCTCTAGTAAAGGGTTCTATATACGGGTTCTTATCGTCGTGCTATTATATAGATTTGTCGTAGCTCTTTCTTTACGACCTCTACGTAGGTCCTCGGCGCGTTATTAATAGAGTATAGCTCTACTACTATTCGGTAGCCTTCTCTACCCGAGTCCTTTCGTTGTATTATATTAAACTGTTCGCGTCGCACTATATTCTTGCCGCGGCAGTTCCGTACTATATAGCCTTCCTTGCTATACGTATAGCAAGTCAATCTTCCTACTTTCTTAGGCGAACTCTTACCTTTTCTTCCTTTAATTGCTCGACCCTTCTAGGTAGCGTCTAGCTCTATTAGTTACGCACCGTAGTAGTTGTTCCCCTTTAGTTTATCGTAGGTACTATAGTTTCGTCTATTATCGTATCTAGGAGTATAACTAGCTTTTCTAGAAGTCTTAGAATCGTAACGTCGTTCTAAAGCTCGTTCGTAGAGCCTATCGTCGAGATCGATCGTAACCTTAACTAATATTCCTATATTATCTATTTTTCTACCGTCGCGTATAAGCTTATCTTTAACGTTATCCTTAAGACCTCGCCGATATATTGTTATAAGAGCTTCGTCGTCCTAATCCGTAAGTTAGGCGTATTCCTAAAATTTAGTAGCGTAATCGGTATATAACCCCTTCTAAGTTAAGTGTTAGATAACCCTAACTGCGGTAGCAACTTCGTTAGAAGATCTAAAGACCTTCTTTATCGCACGCTTAAGATTTTCGTAGCTTGCGAAGATTCTATCCGAATTGTCGGTCCCGTTGCTATCTAGATAGGTCCTAAGAAATAGTTTAACCTAATGCTAAGCCCTACCTCGTATAAACGTCGTTGCGAAGACTAGCTTTAAGTTATCTTAAACCTAGTTAAATATAAAATATATATCTATCTAGCTAACCTAGGTATCGAACTTGTCTCGGTCGCCGTAATAAAAGTCTAGCTTTCCGATCTTAAGAGAATCGTTTCCGGCATAGGTTCCTAGTACATTGCTAGCACTAGAGGTAGTACGTCGAGTACTGCCTGTCTCGCTAGGGGCGGGAGTTCCCCTTCCGACTTGTAATAAGGCACTTATCCTAAGGGCGTTTAAAGTGTTACGGTTACTCGCGATAGATCGTTAAGTGACTTCTTATTACGTATAAGCCGAGGCTTCTTTAGAGAGGCTAATACAAGCGGGAGGCAGAGACAGAATAATTGGTACAAAGGTAATTCTAATTAGTAAGTAGGTAACATAAGTTGAACGCCTCGAGCTATAAGGGCATTCCGGCGTTCCTAAATACAAAGGAGATATCTTGTCTGTAGTCGTAAGCGACGTAAGCGACGCTATCGCTCTCGACCGCTCCTATCGCTCCTAGTAAGATAGAGCGACAGCTTAGCCTACTAGTCTTAGCGTCGCTCTAAGATTATATAAGGACTCTAACTAATTAGATCCGTAATACGAGTTTATTACTATTAAGTCTATTATACCGGCTTTGTTTAATAGTACGACAAATGAGACTCTACCTATAGAAGCAGCTAGTATAGTCTAGCTGCTCTAGTAGCTTCCGGCTTAATAAGACGTATCCGCGGAAGAGCTAAATACCGATATAGCGGACTAGGTTACTAATCTACTACTAAATAAGGACGACATTCTAGCTGTTTAACCGCCTTCGAGTAATAAGGATAGTTTCTAGTCCGCTAAGGAGCAGCCTAAGGAGCAGCCTATATATAATCCGAATGCTAAGAAAGGTAAACCTAGCTAGTTGCCTGAGTTTAAGCGGCTAACTAAGATAGGCAATCGTTCTATACGCAAGACACGAAGCAATAAGAACGCTCGTAAACTGTTACGTAGCTATCTAGCCGACTGTAGCGTTAAGCGGTCTATACGACGTACAATAGCTAACATGCCTATAGCCTACGTAAAAGGCTTTATAGCTTCCTACTATATTGCTAAGTAGTCTAATAAGCCTAAAGAGACTATTCTAATTCTAAAGAGCTTTAAGGCCGCTAAGGAGTTAGTATATTAGCTATAGTAGAAGGAGGCCTGTAAGGCTAAATACAAGTTACTAATCGACAACTATATATAGGTATACGTTTCTCGACTAGAAGTACCTAGAGGTCGCAAGGTTGTCTGTAGCCGATAGGTCTTTACTATTAAACGAGACGCTAATAGCAATGTAAGCCGCTTTAAGGCTCGTTAGGTCGTTCGTAGCTTTATATAGGTTAAAGGGCAAGATTATAATAAGACCTATACGGCTATCGCTAAGCTATCTATACTACGAGCACTATTTAGCCTAATTGCTTACTACGACCTAGAGGCTAAGCAATACGATATTCTAACGGCTTTCCTTAATACACTTATCGGTAACAAGCATAAGATCTACGTCGAACAACTATACGGCTTTAAGGACCGTAGTAGAAAGGGCATAGTTTGCCTATTGCTAAAGGCACTATATAGTTTAAAGCAGTTACCGATACTATAGTACGAAGAGCTTTAGAAGTACTTAAAGAGCCTAGATTTTATACTAATAATAGCTAATGTGTATGTATTTAAACACGTTGTTAGCGGCTCTATTATTGTTATCTATATCGACGATATAATTATTATCGCCTATAGCCTATTAGCACTAGAAGCCGTTACTTAGTTACTAAAGGACCGCTTTAATATACGAGAACTAGGCGACCTTTACTACTATCTCGGCATGCGGATCATTCGCGACCGCAACTAGCGCACTATTTATATCGTTTAAGATGCCTATTTAAATCGGCTTAGTAAGAAGTATAGCATATAGGGCCGTATAGTACTAGCTACGCTAATAGCGCCTCGGTACGTTAAGATATCGATTTAGCGTATACCTAAGGGCTATACTACTAGCGCTGCCTTTAAGACTTAGTATTAGGAAGGAGTTAGTAAAGCACTATAGCTAGCTATAATTATACGACCTAATGCTTGCTATACTATAGGCCTACTATTACGATATATTTCTAACCCGACTAAGGAGCATTATACCGCACTTCTTTAGCTTATTAAGTACCTAGTTAGCACTCTTAGCCGTAGCTTGTGCTTCCGAGGAATATAGAATAAAAACGAGCTCAACTTTGTTAGATACTATAACGCTTCCTAGGCTAATAATCCGGTTACTCGTCGTTCTATAAGAGGCTTCTACTTTACGCTCGCTAGTAGACTACTACTATATAAGTTAGGCCGCTAGACCTTAGTTACTCTATCGTCTATAAAGGCTAAGTATATTTAGTTAACAACTAGCGCTAAGGAAGCCGTTGCTTTAGCTCGGTTGCTATAAGAAATTAGTTATAAGGGCACTATTAAGCCTATTACTCTATATAAGGATAATTAATTAGCAATCGCTATTACTTAGTCTACAAGTATTAATAGCCGTACTAAGCATATAGACGCTAGAGTCTACTACATCCGCGAGAAGATTACTAATAGTACTATCGTTATTACCTAGATTAGTATATACGATTAAATCGCTAATAGCTTTACTAAGCTACTTAATAAGCTTAAGCATAGTCGCTTTGTTTAGTAGTTAAACTTAGTAGATTATAAGGCTGCTATTGAGAGCGCTGCTTAGCCTACTACTAAGTACTAAATAGATAGAAGATATATATTTATTGTCCGGTTTAACTACTTGTTTGTTTAATTACTTTATTATAAAAGTAGTCTAGTTGTTTCTATACCTAATACCCCTTTGTTTTGCTTTAGTTTGCTTGTTTAGCTATATGTACGCGATAAGGGGGTAACTTAAAGAGTGTGTATATAGGCTATTACGTACATGATGCCTGAGGCTGCAACTGTGCACACTTCATCTTTGGGCTTTCTGTAATTAGCCCTTCTTCTGAATACATCACAGTTTACATCAAGTGAACTGTGACTGGGAGCGATTCAAGGCCGCTGAGCTTCCAAAATATCAACTTATACGTCTTGCTTGGCTTTCTCACGCCTGCGGACTCTTCACACTCAATCAGTTTCGTATCCCGGTACGCATGCTAATCAACGGCGAGCAATGCAAGGACTCCACCTTCCATGACGAGCAGGAGGCTTCATGGCGGGCGCTGAAATGCCTATCACCTGGATACCAAGAAGTCGTGTTTGACGTCGAGGTTAAATGGCCGCGTCGGTGTCTTCGAAAAACAGTACGTTGTCCGGACGGTCTCTGCTACCGTTGTTTGGGCCCGAGAATTCAGAAAGTTGGAATGTGGCGCGTAGACGACACGTACACGTTGGGGCAATTTTACGACGATGTTCAAGCTGTGATATGCTCCTAGAGGTATGTCTCAAGGTACATGGGACGATCTGGAACATCTCAAAAGCTGGGTGCCACTTTCGCGTCAGCAAGGCAGACGAAGTTTCCACCATACAACGCTCACTGCCATAGTAGGAAGGTGGGAAAGCGAGGACTCAGAGGCTCGAGTCTTCAAAGCGAATTCGAGAAATGGATCTAGGCAGGACGATTCGCATGTGGCAGCCGGTTGGTGACTAGCATCGGATCGCCTGGATGTGTCAGGACTCAAGAACTTTCGATTTGAATGCAACTGGCTGCGAGAAAAGCAAGAAGATATTTCCGCTGGAGATCATCTTGGATGGATGCGAAAGGCGCTGGGCGCGAACCCGAACGCCTTATGGCGAAGGATCAAACCCTTTCCAATGAGACATGATACGGCTAGACTGCCCGTGGCACAGACCAGAGGATTGGACATCAGGTATATCTAAAACGTGGGAGTTGTTGTCATAATCGCCTTTTCTGAGCACTGGGCCAATTCAGTCTTCGCCATAGGCTCGCTTCACGTGTGTTGAAGCGTGCCGGTAGTCTGTGAGGGCGCGTCCTTTCCAGCGTTATGTGGCATCCTCAATCCAGAATCCGTGATTTGCGGGACGAGCCTAGCGTGGTGATGGAACAAAGCCACTAACGTACCTGCCATCTGCATGTGACTGCCAAGATCCAATCGCGTCACCCGCACAACACGCTTCTTATTTGATCTCCATTACTCCTACATCATCCGTAGTCAAAGCATAAGAGTGACACGGCTTTACAAGAGCAGGTAAGCCTTTCCTCAACAGTACCACTACACCAGCGCTGACGGCATCTCAGTCATGGCAACAGCTGCGCGCTCCGCAGCGGAGCGAGTCTTCTCCATCGCTGAACTTCTGGAAGACATCGTCCTTCGTGTCATTCAAGATGAGCTCGACCATCCCGTTCTTGAAGAGAAAGTCTTGCACCTTACGACGGCCTTCAAGCTGCAAGGCATCAATCGCGACGCCTACCGCAACATTGCAGGATCTAAGAAAATACGCGAGCTGGCTCTCATCAGACTCGGCACTGAGAAACTTGATACTTGGGATCGCATCCGCTGGCTGAGCTCCACAATCTCGGGATGGGACTTTCGTGCATACAGACGAGCAACTCGCACTCGTCACGGTCATGTTGAACACGGACCTTCCATCCAACTCTCATCCGAGCCGCGGCGGCTGCGTCTCGATGATAACCCAGATGCTTCATGGAGAGCTCTTCCGTGCTTTCCTTCTGGTACACAGTCTACCACGCTGGAGATCTGGCAGTTCATACCAAGTCGCTTTTGGTACGCTGGCACGAACCTGCAGCCGCAAGCCAAGGATCTCGAATCAATGACGGGCGAGTACTGGAGGAAGAGATTGGCTGCCTGGAGACTGGATGATGGATATACGCTTGGTCAGCTATATGATGATGTGGGTAGGGTTGAGGACGAGCAGCGTCTAGGCATTTTCCAGAGGCTCGACATGCAGCAAGTTTGGTCACAGAGGATGATTGCTCTGCCGAAACGATGGTGATTGTTCGCTGGTGGCGTAGCTGGAGCAGAGTTCAGAGCATTCAAGAGGCGGAGAGAGGTTGCAAAGTACCGGAGGCACGGAAGCGATAATGCGTCACCGCATCTCCCAAGATGAGCACTACAGCTTTCAGGCCTAAGGTGGTCGCACATCTCACTCTCCTTGCCGTCCTCGCATGGATAAGGTTCAAGCATACTTGTTAATTAGTGAATAATCACTAATTAGTGCCTATAATTATAATTATAGTTAATAGTAAGTAAATAATTAGTAGTTATAGTTATATAATTACGTAATTAGCGACCGCAGTAACGATTAGGGTTAAGAAGGAGGTATATTTATAAGCTATCGTCGTCGTTAGCGCTAGATACTAAGTACGAGGCTACTAATAGGTCTTGTTCTTCCGGCTCTTCGAGTAAGGCTAATTCTAATAGCACTTTAGTAACCCCTATTCTTATCTAACTCTTCGAGTATTTATTTATTCGAATATAATCGCCGCTTAGTCGTATACGGTCCTATCTAGCAGTGCGGCGGCTCTTACTAAAGGTTCTCTCGGACTCCGCGGATATAGCGAATACGAACAATATATCGATAGTAAGTTACTATAGTACCGGATCGTAGGTCTTCCGTTACTAGACCTACTACTTAATAGGACTTATTTAAACCGGCTTCTTAAAGCTAACTATTAGTAGTACTATTAGACTCGAGTAGATAAAGGCTTCGAAGGGGTCTTTATTAGTAGCAACTAGGTCGGTTTAAGTATTAGGACTAAAGAGGTTATACGTAATTAGTATATAACTAGGCTCGAGTAAAGCTAGGGTCTTAATGCCTTAGGCAGGGCTTGGCGCTTAGTAATAGGCTAACTCTCCTACCTTCCTCCCTTTCCTTCTAGATCCTTATCGAATACTACTTATACCTACTACTACCCTATCTACCTACTAATATACCCTTCTTATATAGTATTCGATCTACCCTTTAAGGGTAGCAGCTAGATAGTCCTTATTTTAAGCTTTTAGCGGTATAGCCTCGAAAACCGTTAATCTAACTATATTACGCCCGAAGAACGGGACCTATATATACTATTCTATTAAAACAACCGTACTAATTATTAAGCAAGGCCTTCTATACGGCCTATTATATCGAGTTAATCGTACTAGACCGATATCTACTAATTCCGCTATATCCGTACTATAGGGGCCTATAATATATTATTAGTATTATCCCTTATTAGAATAGCCGGCTTATTACGAAGCAACAACCGCGGCGCTACTAGCAGCGCTAGCAATAACAACGCTAGTAGTATAGAGCCTATTAATAAAGAACCTATAGTTCTAGGCGATAATCTAGAATTGCCTATTAACGATATTCTTAATAATATTATTAATCGACGATATAGCTAACTAGCCTTTAGGCCCTAACTAGTAGGGAGACTTTAAGAAGCTACTTAAAATAGGCTTAATGCCCTACGTTAAGAGTAGTAGCTAAGGGATAACCTCCTCGAACTTCGCTACCTTTAGGAAGCTTCGACAATTACTACTAGACTAATAGTAGGACCTTCCTTACTAACTGTTTAAAAGAAGGATACTAAACTTAAGGACTGCACTATATTTAATAGCTCTAGTCGAAAGCAATACAACGACTATATTCGTAACTATAAGCTTAACTAGCGTAATATACCTAGGGCCCTTCTAGATAACTACTTATTAGTCGTCTACGCTATGCAATACATTAATAGCGACCTAAAACGTACCTAGGATAACTACTTTAACTCCCTTAATAATCAGACCGCTGTTTAGTAGCAGACCTATAAAACTATTATACTAGATACCCTTAGAGACCCTATACTAAGGCAATAATATACCTAGGACTAGTACCTTCGAGCTAAATAAAAGACTAATCAATCGGCTCGCTCGTTTAAGGCCTATTTAAAGACTCTAGAGGACGACCTTCTAGCTAAGACTAATTCTATATAGATTTCCGAGATACGCCTAAAACTTAGATAGGAGCTTATTCTCGAATTAGACCGCCGCCGTATATTGAAACAGGCTAACCTAACACGCATTTAATTTATAGTCGAAGTAGAAACAGCTAAACGAGCTGTCTAGCTCTAGTAACGACTAGAATCGAGGATCCGACTAGCTAGTACTAACCGCGGCAATTGTAGTGCTTGTAGAGGAAACTAAGGTTCCTACTAAAACAATACTACTAACAATAGGAATAGTAATAATAACTATAGAAGAGGCCGTAGCTAGCGGCTATATAGAGGAGGCCGCGATAGGGGCCGTAGAAGGGGCTCGTATCCCTATAGTACTAACCGCTCTACTAACAATAACAATAGCTATAGTAATCTACTAACCGGATTGAAGTGCTTTAACTATAATAGTACTAGCTATCTACTAGGCTAATGCGACAAACCTAGGGATTAGGCCCGGATTAACCGTACTTCCGCTAAATATAAGAAACACCTTTTAGCCGCTAACGCTACCCCTATTAGCTCTTCTAATTAGTCGAAAAAAGAATAAGCGCCGCACTAACTATTAGCCTTATACGGCGTAAGACTATCGACATTATACTAGCTATTATACGCACCTGCCTCGTATAGGATACGTATAGCACTAACTATAAAACTAAGGTTATACTAGATCTAAGAAATTTAGTTAGTGCCCTTATTAGCTATTACCTAGCTAAGCAATTAGACCTTCGACAATTGAATAGGGCTAACCTACTAACCCTTGCTTAGTTTAATAAAGCCCGGCACTTAACCTATAGGGCTTACTATATTCCTATAGTACTAAGAGACGACCTCGGTAATAAGCGTTTATTAGACTTTACTGCCTACGTAGTAGATATAGACAACCTATATAGAGGAGCTACTATTGTTATTAGTAACCCTATCCTTAAGCAATACGCTATAGCTATAGACCTAGGCAGTTAATAATAGCGATTTAGAATCGCTAGGAAAGAGGATATTAAGTATATCGACGTTAGCGAGTGCCCTAACGATATTAGGGTCCTATTTATTAGCAACCTAATACCTGCCTTAGCGGATCCGATAGCTAACCTTCTTAGTAGAGATAACGATAAACCTATACCCCCTAATAGTATAGATCCTAATTAGCTTGCTCGTATACTACTACCTATTCGAGAGACCTATATTAATGTATTTAAACACTACCTAGTATCGATATTGCCTATATTTAAAGAGACGGATTATAAGATTAACATTATAGAGGGTAAGGAGGTCCCCTTTAGGCTACTCTACAATCTTAGTAAGCGTAAACTCGCTATATTGCGTAAATATCTAGATAAGAACCTAGCTAATAGTCGAATTTAGTATAGTAATAGCCCTACTAGTGCACCTATCCTATTCGTACTAAAAAAGGATAGTAGCCTACGCCTATATATCGACTATTGTAGGCTTAACGCTATTACTATTAAGGACTGCTATCTACTTCCGCTTATTAATAAGACCCTCGACCGCCTTTCTAGCGCCTGTTTCTATACTATATTAGACATTAAGGACGCCTATTATCGCATCCGCATTCGTAAGGGTAATAAATAGAAAACAGCCTTTCGTACTCGCTATAGCTATTTCGAGTACTTAGTTATGCTATTTAGGCTAGCTAATGCCTCTATAATATTCTAGTCCTATATTAATCGGGCCCTATTAGGCCTATTAGACTATCTCTGTATTATATACCTAGATAACATCCTAGTCTATACCTATTTACCTAATATCGCTAAATACTAGGCTATAGTCCGTAAGGTGCTCGATTGCCTAAGGATCTATAGCTTGTATTATAAGCCCTCTAAGTGCACCTTTGCTACTAAGGAGGTAGCCTTCTTTAGCTTTATCGTATTAACTAATAGTATTAAGGCTAATCCTAATCGGATAAAAACTATTACTAAATAGCCTATTCCTACGTTAATTAAGGAGCTATAGTCGTTCCTCGGCTTCGCTAATTTCTGTCGTCGCTTCTCTAAGAGCTATTTACGGCGTATAATGCCCCTAACTAAGCTTACTAAAACTAAGGCAAATCTATCTAGAGAGTTTAAATAGACTAATAAAGTATAAGCCGCTTTTAACGGTTTAAAGCAACGCTTTACTAAAGTCCTCTTACTATACTATTTTGTACTAAGCAAGCAGATCCGTATTAAGACTAACACTTTACAGTTCGCTATATCGGCTATTATATTATAGCAATTAGATAATAATAATTACTAGTACCTAATTGCCTTCTTTTTACGGAAGATAATCGATATAGAACGTCGATACGAGACCTACGAGCAAGAGCTCTTAGCAATCGTAGAAGCCTTTAAGCACTAGCGCTACTATCTCGATAGTGCTTAGCATACAATTTAGGTCTATACGGACTGTAACAACCTGCGTGGTATTACTAAGGTTACAAGGGTTATAGGTCGATAGGCTAGATAGGCCGTCTACCTCGCTAGGTTCGATTTTAATATATTATACCGGCTAGGTATAAGTAACCCTACCGATAGCCTATCGAGGCGACCTAATTACGATAGCGAGACTTAGCAATCTATTAATTTATTGTTTCTAACCCTGTAGTATAAGATTGCTATAGCCTGTATTATTAATAAGTAAGCGTAGGATAAGCGGACTTCTAAACCCCGCGGCGACAACAAATACTATAGTAGAGTTATCGTTCTTCTAGTACGCGTTAGAAAGGACGTAGATTGCTCGAGCTATAATAACTCGGTTAAAGACATTGCTATCTATAGTAATAGCCTATATAGCGATAGTACTATAGAAGAGGTTATAGTAGTTCTAGCTACTAGTACTATTAGATATATATAATACGTACCTCGTTCGATAGTAAGGATGCTATTAAATAACCTTGCGAATAGGGATAGTTAATCGTTTATAGATAAGCTATTACGTACTTAGTAGAGGGACGCCTTTGCTATCGAGCGTATTAATAGGCTTGTAAGTAGACAGGCGACTCGATCTAGTAAGAGTAATAGTTAGTCGATTGACGATAAGGGTTACTTAAGGTTTAAAGGCAGATACTATATCCCCGCTAAACAATCGATTAGATAAGAGCTTTTAAAGAGGCACTATAATAGTAAGCTCGCTAGTTACTATAGTATAGAGAGGTCGCACGAGTTACTATCGCGTATATACTACTAGCTAAATAGTAAGCAGTATATAAAGGAGTATA